AAAATGGAGAAAGAGAAACTCCAAGACAAGAATAGGGAGGTGAAAAGAGCTAGAACCGGTGATGGGAATTTCTCCAATGTTAGGTCCGATGGACAAGGTCAAACAAAGGTTCTCCAACCAACGCTCCTCTATTGCTCCCCCAATGGTTAACAATGATAGGGTTTCTAACCCTAAACCTCAAGGAGGTAATAGTAGTGGTTCTTATGTTGCTAGGCCTAATTGTGCAAAATATGGTAGTAAACATGATGGAAAATGCTTAGTTGGCTCGGATGGGTGCTATGGTTGTGGGAAGAGTGGTCACAAGATGAGAGATTGTCCAATTCTCAAAGTTAAGGGGAGAGAAGATAAGCAAGCTCCTCCAAGCAGGTCAAACTCCAATGCCCAAAAGCAAAACCACTTTTATGCTCTTCAATCCTGAGGTGACCAAGAGAGCTCTCCGGATGTGGTGACCGGTATGTTGCAAGTCTTTTCTATTGATGTATATGCTTTGTTAGATCCCGGTGCCACTTTGTCCTTTGTGAAACCTTTTGTGGCTATGAACTTTGAAATACTCCCCAAAGTGTTAGTAGAACCGTTTTTGGTCTATACCCCGGTTGGTGACTCGGTGGTGGCTAAAAGAGTTTATAGAAGTTGTCTCATTTCCTTGTCCCATAGAGTCACTTTGGTGGATTTGGTTGAGTTAGACATGTTAGACTTTGATGTGATGCATTGGTTTCATGCATGTTATGCTTCCATTGATTGTAGGACTCGAGTGGTTAGGTTCAAATTCCCCAATGAGCCTATTTTAGAGTGGAAGGGGGGAAATTCTATCCCTAGAGGTCAATTACTTTCTTGCCTTAAATCTAGAAAAATGATCGCCAAAGGGTGTATTTACCATCTTGTTAGGGTGAAGGATGTCGAATCTGAAACCCCCTTCTTTAGAGTCGGTTCCGATAGTGAATGAGTTTCCAGAAGATTTCCCCGATGATTTGCCCAATTTTCCTCCCAAGCGGGAAATAGATTTTGGCATTGATATTTTACCGGATACGCAATCTATCTCCATTCCTCCTTATAGAATGGCTCCGACCGCATTGAAAGAGTTGAAGGAGCAATTAAGGGATTTGCTAGATAAGGGTTTTATTCATCCGAGTATCTTTGCATGGAGTGCTCTGGTGTTGTTTGTTAGAAAGAATGATGGGTATCTTAGAATGTGCATTGACTATTGTCAATTGAACAAAGTGACCATTAAGAATAAATATCCCCTTCCGAGAATTGATGAATTGTTTGATCGACTATTCTCCTTACTTTTGGTGAGTCCTCATGGTTCGAGGACAGATGATGATTTTCTAGTTTTTTTTTTCTTGTACTTCCATTTGAGAACTATGTTGTAAGGGTTGTGACCCTATTTGATACTTAGATTGTAATAGATGGCTAATTGAGACAAAGCTAGACTTCCGTTTTGCTTTTATGAAACTTTTGGACTTAAATGTGTTTTTACTCTTATTGTTCTAATACTTTATGTTATGATATGCTAAGTGGCTTACATGGTTCCTTTCGGGTTCCTATGTGCCTTGTTACGTCTAGGGGGTACCCTTGGGTCATGACATCAGAGAACAAATATTAACAAAAAAAATAAAGATAAAATATTGGCACCCAAACAAACAGATTAGGGTGAAAAGGAATTTTCACTATGCGCCCATGTGGCGAAAGCTTGCTGCAGTCGCCGAACTATTCAGCTAATCGTCAAGTTACCCGTAGCTCGCCGAATTTTCCAGTATGTAACCATTCCATTTTGGGGCAAGAAGGCGGACAAGAGTAAGTCTTCTGAATAACATTAGCGCATCGCCTAATGGCTGTGAATCCTCGCCGAAAGATCCAAAACTACAGACTATCAGGGCTGGTGCAAATAGGTGGATAAAGTCGGGTCGCCCAATCGTCTCGGTTAATCACCAAGTGGTGCATTTATCCCGCCTAATGTTCCAGTGTCTTAGTCCACTGTTGACGCTAGAAAGGCGATCAACTTCGTGATCGCCGAACTTACTCAGCGAACCACCGAATGAATCTTAGCCTCTGAAAATCACCTGCACATGCACATTCAGCACCCATTATTCAAAGCAACTAACACTTGGGTTGCCTCACAAGAAGCGCCTTATTTAACTTCTTGGCATGACGTGGAAATGCTTCCAAGCATCTTCAGAGTACACCACTTCAATCACTGAAATTTCATGGCATTCTCCAAACTATAACTGCAAGTGTTGCCCATTCACCTTGAAAGCAGGGCCCTCTTTACCTTCGACTTCAATGGCTCCATTTGTGAATACCCGTGTTATTCTAAATGGGCCTTACCATTTTGATTTGAGCTATCCCGGAAAGAGTTTCAGTCGAGAATTATATAACAACACACAATATCCAACTCGAAACTCCCTCTTAAGGATTTTAGAATCATGCCACTTCTTCATTTTTTCCTTGTAGAGGGCTGAACTTTCATATGCCCTCAAGCTGAATTCTTCCAATTCATTTAGTTGATCTACTCTTCCTTTTGAAGTTTTGGCCCAGTCCATATTTAGAGCCTTTAATTCCCATAATGCTTTATGTTCTAGTTCAACTGGTAAATGGCAAGACTTCCCAAAAGCTAGTGTCTTGTAGGCAGTGCGATATGCCCACAGAGCATCATCTAGCTTTCGAGACCAATCAGTCCTATTTTCATTTACAGTCTTAGCCAAGATACTCTTGATCTCCCGATTCGAAACTTCCACTTGGCCACTCGTTTGAGGATGATATGGTGTTGCTACTTTATGTCGCACCCCATATTTTCTCAATGCGGATGCAAAAAACCTGTTGCAAAAATGGGATCCACCATCACTAATAATAGCCCGAGGAATGCTGAACATAGCAAAGATGTAGCGTTTTAGGAACTAAACAACACTTTTCCCTTCATTGTTTGGTAGTGCTACAGCTTCTTCCCATTTAGAAACATAATCTACTTCCACCAAAATGTACTTATTACCAAACGAACTAACAAATGGACCAATGAAATCTATTCCCCAAACATCAAATAACTCAATTCCAGAATAGGTTTAAGAGAGAGCTCATGTTTTTTGGACACTACACCATATTTTTTACATTGTATGCATTTCTAACATATTCATGAGCATCTTTTTACAGGGATGGCCAGTAGTAACCACTTTGAAGAATTTTAGCGGTTGTACACACTCTGCTACGATGACCACCAACCGGTGAAGCATGACAAGCATGGAGAATTTCATTGAATTCCTCTTAGGGCATACATCTCCTACTAATATGGTTTGCACACTCTCTGAATAAGTACGGTTCATCACAAAAGTATTTCTTGACATCGAACAAGAACCTCTTTTGTTGATAGAAGTTCAGTTCTTCCGGTATCAATCCACATACTACATAGTTAGCAAAATCAGCATACCAAGGAGTTTGTTGTAGAGTTACCGTGAATACCTGTTCATCAGGAAAGGCATCATTTATGTCTACATCTAGCTAGTCATTGTCATTGCCTTCTAACCTTGATAGGTGGTCAGCCACCTGATTTCCACAACCTCTTATGTCTTTGACTTCAAAGTCAAATTCTTGCAACAATAGCACCCACCTTATTAATCTTGGCTTGGCATCTTTCTTTTCCATCAAATAACGCAAAGCAGCGTGATCAGTATGAACAACCACTTTGGTGCCTAGAAAGTATGCCCCAAATTTCTCAAATGTATATTCTACCGCTAGTAATTCGTGATTCATAATTGTATAGTTACGCTGAGCACTATTTAGAGTTTTGTTTGCGCAACAAATGGGATGGAATAGCTTGTTGTGGTTTTGCCCTAACATGACACTTAATGTCGTACTACTTGCATCACACATCACTTCGAAGAGTGCTGACCAATCGGGACTATGAGAGCCAGGGTGGAAATCAATTTCTCTTTCAAACACTTAAAGGTTACCATACATGCATCATCAAAGTTGAATTTTACTTCCTTCTCCAAAAGTTTGCACAAAGGGTGTGCAATTTTTGAAAAGTCTTTGATGAACGTCCGGTAAAAGCTAGCATGCCATATGAAACTACAAATACCTTTCACCGAGATTGGTGGTGGTAGCTTCTCAATTACTTCGATCTTTGCTTTATCAACTTCCAGCCCTTGTGACACTTTGTGACCAAGAACTATACCTTCCCTACCCATGAAGTGTCATTTCTCCAAAATTATGACCAAATTTGTTTCCACACATCTTTGAAGGACCTTCCCCAAGTGTGCCAAACATGCTTCAAAAGTATCACCCACAACTGAGAAGCCATCCATAAAGACTTCCATCGAATCTTCTACCAAATCAGCTAAAATAGATAGCAAGCAATGTTGAAACGTTGATGGGGCCATTACACAACCCGAATGACATCCTTTTGAAAGCGAAAGTTTCATATGGACAAGTGAAAGTAGTTTTCTGTTGGTCTTCTGAAGCAATAAAGATTTGATTATATCTGGAGTACCCATCTAAAAAGCAATATCATCCTCTTTGTAAAAGCCGATCAAGCATTTGGTCTATAAAAGGCATGGGAAAGTGATCTTTTTCGGTCCACGAGTTTAACTTCCGGTAATCCATGCATACTCAGCATCCGGTTACCGGTCTCATAGAAACAAGCTCCCCCTTTTCATTTAGGACAACCGTGATGCCTCCCTTTTTTGGTACACATTGTACCAGACTCACCCACTTGTTATCCGCAATAGGGTAGATCACACTTGCATACAACCACTTTATTATCTCCTTTTTCACCACCTCTTGCATCGGAGGGCTCAATCTCCTTTGATGCTCAACACTCTATTTACACTTGCTATCAAGCTGAATTTTGTGAGTGCAAATGTGGGGTGGAATTCCCACAGTGTCAGCGATAGTCCATCCAATGGCTTTGTTGTATCTTATCAACACTTCAAGAAGCAACTTTAATTGCCATTCAAGCAAGTCAGCTGCCATGATTACGGGTAAGGTGTTATTTTCCCCAAGAATGCATATCAAAGATGAGCGGGGAGTACTTTCAACTCAAGCTTTGGTGGTTCCTCTGTTGATGGCTTAGCGGGTGGATTTTCTTGAGGTTTTAGATCAATATCCAGCTTTAATGGAGTCTTTGAACATTCCCCAAAACCCGAAAAGGCTGCCACCACCTCATTGTAACCTTGGACATCGGACTCATCATAGTTTGCAAGCACAGCCTCAAGTGGCTCAGTCATACACATCAAATGGCTCACACAAGCTACTGTTTCATCAATTACATCAATAGTCGAAACTATATTAATATCTCTTGGGTGCTTCATTGACTTACACACGTTAAAAGTGACTTCATCTTCATTCACCCGGAACTTCAATTCTCCACTTTCAACATCCACTAACGCTCTCCCGGTTGCTAAGAATGGCTTCCCAAAATAATGGGAATTTCAGCATCAATCTCGCAATCAATGATGACAAAATCAGTCGGAAAGATGAATTGGTCAACCTTTACCAAGATATCATAGAGTATCCACACGGGGTGCTTGATCGATCGGTCTGCCATCAGAAGCCTCATTGTTTTGGATTTCGGTTCACCCAACCCAAATTGTTTATAGAATGCGTATGGAATTAGATTTATACTTGCTCCCAAATCACATAGGGCCTTGGAAAGTTTGATCATACTGATAGTGAAAGGAATGGTGAAGGCTCCGGGATCTTTTTTCTTTATAATCCTCTCATTAGTCATAATTTCACTACAACTATGAGAGATTTCAATTGTTTCGAAGTCCAAGATTCTTTTCTTTGTGACTAACTCCTTCATAAACTTGGCATAACCCGGCATCTCCAACAATGCTTCCACTAATGGGAGATTAATTGATAATGTATTGAACACCGATAAGAACTTCTTGAACTTCTCATCCTCATTTTTCTTCTTGAGACGTTGGGGAAATAGAGGAGTTATTTTGGGGAGAGGTTGCACCAACTTTGAGATTGAGGTGCTTTTTCCTACATCTTTTTGTAACTCTTTGGCAAAGCCTTGTTGGATGGGTATCTCTTCTTCCTCAATACCTTTGTCTTATTCATGAGCTTGTGCTTCATCATTGCCCTTCATATCACCTACCACTACCTTTCCGCTTCGAGTAACCACAACCAAATTTCTATCACCATTTTCCAGCAAAGTTGTTATGTGCATGGTTGCACCGTCCCGTATTACGTTTGGTTCGAATTGTGCTGAAAGTTTACTCAACTGACCTTCAAATAGCTTAATTGCATCAGCATGAGAGTTCACTCTATTGTTTAACGTTGAGAAATCAGCTTTCATCCATTTTAGCAAGTCAACCGAGCCCTCAACTTTATCAAGGATGCGATATAACAAATCGTCCACTTGGAGACTACTTGCACTCCCCTTTGACTTTGGGCTCTCACTCGATTGTGTGTGATCCTCTTCATGATCATTCTCTCTTTTCCAAGGATCACATTGCTCAGACCACTCTTGATAGTATCTTCTCCGCTCTTCTTTTTTGTGAGAGTTCCAACCTTGATTACCACCCTGCTGCAAGTAGCGTGGGTGGAAACCCTCCTCAAATCCGTGAAAGTTCCAACCTTGATTCTCCCTCGGCTTTGAATAGCCCGAGGAAGAACCCTCCTCAACTCTAAACACTCCCCTTACTCTTTCGGTTTGCCCACATTTTCTAACATTTGTGTTTGTAGCAGCTCGATTTGGGATAACATCTTATTGATGTTCTCACCCCTTTCTCTTTCTTCATTAAGTTGTTCTTGAGTCATTCTAAAGCAAAAAGGCAAAACTTGATCTTCTTGAGTGTACCATGCTTGATTTATTTTCGCTATGTCATCAAGAAGAAAAAAGCCACCTCAAACGATTGAATATTATTCCACCTCTAACCAATTGATCAGCTACTCATTTATTTACTGAGTCAAGACTTTGATAGAAGTATTGTAGCAACACATTTTTTGGAAGTCCGTGAGTCGGGCATTGAAGTAGTAGCTTCTTAAACCTAGGCCATGTTTTGTGAATCGGTTCATCCTCCAATCGCTTGAAACCTTGAATGTTGTCTCTGAGTTTCATCATCTTCGATGGGGGGAAAGAACCTTATATTGAATTCCATGGTCAGCTCATCCCAAGATGTGATAGAATTCTTCGATAACTCAGCCATCTATTTGCTAGCTTCACCCATCAGAGATAATGGGAATAACCTGAGACAGACTAATTATTGTGATACATTCTTGAATGAGAACGGACCACAAACATCTATAAAATTCCGCATATGCTCATGTGGGTCTTGGTGACTCAACCCTCCATAGAGTCCCTTCATTTGAAGGAGATGGAGAGTTGTGCTAGTAACATGGAATATAGCATTCTCATCAGGTGATGGTAGACAGACTGCACCAATTCCACCCAATTGGATTGGATTATGCATACTATTAAGATCTTGAATATCACCTTAGTGTCCCATTTGGCTGTTGTTAATCTCTGCCTCACTCATTTCTTTTTCTGCTCAACACAAACAAAAAACAAATCAAATAGATTCAACTACAGCCAACAAACTCACAAATTAAACTTCAATAAGAGAATTCTAAACCACACCACTCCCCGGCAGCGATGCCATTTTGATTAACGTATCAACTATACCTCACCTGGTACTAGGTGTAGACAATCATTAAGCAGTATAAAGCCAACAAAAGAGTTGGGGTCGATCCCACAAGGAGCAGTTTTGTTTCGAATTCAAGTATGAAGTTGAAATAGTGATTTTCGTAGTTGAAGGAATAGAAATTATCAGAAACTAGTAATAAAATTAGAAGTGTGACATAAATATCAGGGTAAAGGGTGTTAAATCTAAAACCAATCTCAACAATTCGTCAAGAGTAATCAAATAGGAGAAAGATGCTTGGGGGATTGACCAATCAATCGCTAAAATCAAATGGGTGTTAATTGATAATCAAAAGTGCTAACTCTTCGTGGGTAAGATGAACTTTAGATGAGGCACTTTTCTCTCGAACAACCACCTCGTTTCAATTGAGCTCTTAATGTGCTAAACAAAAAGACCAGCCCACAACCTCACTATATCCACTCTCTCGAGCTGGATACATAGAATGAGTCTTAGGTTTCACTCTCTTGAGTTGAATCCATCATGACCCACTTACTATGATTGTCAACTTATCACTTTAGCTTTACACTTCTTTCTCAAGCAAGCATAAAACATGAAATTATATTGAAATAAACATACAATAGAGTAGTTAAACCACAACGATAAGTCAAACCCACTTCGAATTTACACTAAAATTGATAATAACTAACACCTATCAAGTCAAATTCAGCAATTAATCACATTGTCAAACCCCCAAGATTGGAGTTTTAGCTAATCATCATAAAAGAAAGAAATTCAGTACCTAATATATGTTCCATAGCTGGGTATTGAAAATTGAAGTTCTAAAATGAATAATATCTTTTCTATTACAACACCCAATTGAAATCTCTTGCCAAAATTGCTTAAAATCAACAAGAATGATGTTTTTGTTCTCTCTATCTCGTTCTACAATTCCCTCTCTTCCAAAAGTCAATTTATACTGATACTCGCCGATCTTCCTTGTCCATCACCCCTTTTTCCTTCACATTTTCCTCCATCGGGCACTGTAACTTTAGGCGATCTAGATCGGGATCGCTGATCACTTCTGCGATGCGCCCTTTAGTCCTTTAGCTCACCCATTCACTTTTATCTTGGTCTCGATCAGTGCGTTTGGCGATACGTTCTTTGTTCGCTGATGAATTTGGCGATACGATCTTCATTCGCCGATGAATTCAATGATACGATCTTCGTTCTCCGATGAATTTGGTGATTCGCCGATATGGAACACAGTTCTCCCAAGTTTTTCTCATTTCAGGCATAGCGTACTGTAAAATTTGGCGGTCTAGGGGGAATTTAGCGATTCACCAAGTGTTATTGGTGATCGTCAGGCTTGCTTTTCTCCTCTTCTTCAGCTTATGTTGTTCCTGTTTGCCTGTTAGTGTCCTTGTTTTGCTCCTCTATTCACATACCTGAAAATCAAGGCTTTAACATCAGTTTATGGCACAAATTAAGCATTCGAGGACACAAAATCTATATAAACAAAGCCCCAAATGAGTCCAAATTTCATACTCATCAGAACCCTAAATACTTTCCTATCTTATATGTTTGGAGAATATTCATAAGGGAGGATAGGTCATATCTATCCTTGACGTTTACATTTTTTGGAAAAGTATAAAGTGGATTTTTGAAAATTTATTTTTTGCCCTGATTGTGAAGAGAGGGTATTGAAGATGTGGATGATCGTGGAGGCGCTAGTATATACACCTTCGCCATAAGGATAATGTGATCTGCGAATAAGATATGCGAGATGGTTGGACCTATTCTACCAATTTTTAGAGGTTGCCAAAGGTGCTCCTGGGTGGCGTAATTAATAAGTCTAGAAAGGGATTCCATACAAATGATGAAAATATATGGTGATAAAGGATCTCCCTACCTAATACCCCTAGTCGGAAGGAAGTAGTTTTTAGGTCTCCCGTTTACTAGTATGGAGATGGAACGGGTGGATATGCAAGACATAATAATGTCGATAATGTTATTTGAACATTCAAGATCATTAATGATTCCTTTATGAACGACCATTCTATTCTATCAAAAGCTTTTTCAAGGTCGATTTTTAAAAGCATTTTACCAAATTTGCCTTTAGTTTTTTGAAAAGAATGAATGTCTTCTTGGACAATTATAGCGTTATCCACCGAACGCCTTCCAGGAATAAAGCTACACTGGTGGGGGCTTATGATATTATCTCTATAAGGTTGGATTCTATTAAATATGATTTTTGTGATAGTTTTGTAGATAGTGTTACAAAGACTAATAGGTCTATAGTGATTCATTTGTTCTGGATTTTTTATTTTTGGAATAAGGCATATAAAGGTTTTGTTAAGTTCACTGGGAACAGTGTGTGTTCAAAAAAATTCCATGCACGTATTAACCACAGATTCTTTCGTGTCCTCCCAAATTTTTTGAAAGAATAAAGGGTGCAGTCCATATGGACCAGGAGATTTAAGAGGTTTGAAAAAATGGTGTTTTTAATTATGTCTTTTTCAAGGGGTCTCCCAATATTAGTCTTATCTTCTATAGATAGAGCGTTTTTGCATGTAGTAGGGGTAGACCAATAGCTCCTATCTAATTCTGTGGTGTAAATATTTTTGAAGTATTGTCGTATTGGGATATAGTATTGTCGATGATGTTTGGATCATACGTCCCATTTCCTACCGCATCATTTAGTCCCATGATATTATTTTTACTTCTTTTATTAGTTGTCGAAATGTGGAAAAATTTAATATTCGCATCCTCTTCATTTAGCCATAAGACTCTAGATTTAATTTTCCAAAAAGTTTTCTTCTCTTTTTAGAATCTCATTGTAATCGTTTATCAACATGTTTTCCAGCTCCATGTGGTGGTGATTTTTTTGTGTGTTATCCATATTTTGTAGTCCATTAATTCTATGTAGGTCTTTTGTTATTGTTAATAGGTTTCCCCCCAAACATTTCGGAAGCATTTGTAATTTCGTTAAAGTCCACACAAACTACCCACGGGCCATTAATTTTTTTGGTAATATTTCGTAGGTTTTCCCAAAGTGTTTTACTCAAGTTATAACTATTCTTAGCATACACAATAGAAAACACCCATTTAGTAGCTGAAGGTCTTACCTCAATAGTTGCATGTATCTCCTGATCAGTGAGCACAAATGGCTCAATTATTACCTCTGTGTTCCTCCAGAGTAGCGCGATCCCACCCGAGTAGTCAATTTTTGGGA